CATTGACTTTATGCAATCGATTTCTGTTAGCTTTAATGTGTGTCTTTTGTAAAATGTACTCCTACATTAAATGATGACGCGTCAAATACAGAGATACAATTGCAAAGTATGTGTGAAAACAGCTATCGCTGATGCGATCTCTAGCACTATGAGATTTGAATGGACACTTTCATCTTTCTGTGCTAATGTGATATGGCAACATATGAACTGTGATGTACGTATGTACCGAATTCTGATTGAATGAAAAGAAACTTCACTCCAGTGCTTCCAGGTTTCTAATGGTGGTCTAACAATGATTGATTGATGATTTCAAATGTGTAAAAACACTAATCTACATAACTCTAATTGAAAATATCGTAATATGTGTTCACTAGGGACTAGCTTCGTGCGGAAATTCTTGGAGTTCTAGTGAGAAGACATGACCAATGTAGTTCAACTCTGTCGGGTGTAGGCAAATGGGTGAGGTCGCGCAAAATCCCTAGATCAATCAGAGTTAGGACATTAACACCACTAGAAGTTCGGGCCAAATCCTGGAAATTCGGTCGTTTTGGTTTTCATCTTTCCATATGAATTGTGTCATTGGGTATTGATCAATATTCAAAACTAGTGTTGTGAGTAGTCATCATTCATTTCATATTGTATGACTGATGTCATCTATGCATTCATTCAAACAAGTTCGAATTACATTCAATTGTCAATTCATCTCATGCATCATAAATCATCTTTATGGTATGCATCTTATTGATTGAATTCAAACGCATTGTGCCTGGAATTTGTTTGGTTGTGTGGTTGTTTGGTTTTGAATTCATCAATTCATCGTCAACGTGAATCAACGTGAACTATTTTCGCATTTACTTCGGCAATCCATCCAATTCAACAAACATATATACACAACACTCGGTATTTATTTTTAAAACTTCTTTATGCATTCACATACCACAATGATTGAACGTGATAAGTTGTGAATCAATGTTAAAATGGAATAGAATTATTTTATTCCTAGTTATCTTTGGTATTTCAATGCAAGACTAACTACTAGTTAGTTTCATTGAAAAAGAAAATTTCATCATTAACCTTTAGATAAACAAAATATTTTAATGAGTCGTGAACATTTCAATCCCATGTGTAATCTCGTTAATTGGTGTATGTTGTTCAACTTCCAATCTGGTCATTCGATTAAAAAGATTGTTGCTGTATGTATTTGAATAGGTGTGAAAGTGTCATTACTAGTTTTTTTATTTCTGTTTGTTGAATTTATTTTCGAAATCGGATGAATTTTATACTGAAGCCATTGAATGGTTGTAGTCAGTCGATCAGACGCTCCACTTAACCCAAGTTGGCAGTCATCAGTATATTAAAACAATAATGCTATCAGACACCTAAATATTTATGTACAACAAAAATTATTGAATTTACGAGTTGAGTTGAGATAATGTTTAATAAACGTGCACTGGCCACATTCTGAGCCTTCGATCCTGAAGGTCTAATCCACAAGTCAGTGGAGCATTCATTTAAAACCAGACATCTAGTCATATTAGTTACAGAGTTATGCGAAATATTGCGAAATAGTTTTTGGGTTGAAACTGACCCTATGTATGGTTGAGATACTTAGTACATAAAATAATATTCGCATTATCGATATATGGAGATAACTGATCATTGGTCATTGAATGATCTCTATTGAAGAGTCTCATTTTGGAACTTTCATCATAGAGTTATGGAGATTGTTATTTATATTACTTAAATCATGAATCAATCATTGTTAGACCTTCATTAGAAACCCGATAGTACTGGACAGCCGTTTCAACCTGGTGTGATTCATCAGCAGTGCGCATCCACGACTCCTGCTACTCACAGGAATCGAACCCAGTGCATCCAAGTTTCGAATGGTGGTCATGCATTCAGTAATTAATTTATCTAATATTTACTACTGATCCTATTTAAATTTGTGAATGATTTTCCACGTACCGATGCATTTTGTTGAATGCGATTGGCGAAAAACTCTGCTTGATCTGCAAAACACACTAGTCACTTAGGTTATTTACAATTTTGCTTATAATCAACTTTTACATGGAGTTATGCAAACCATTTTAAAAATATCAGAAAGTAAAAGACAAATATGCAACACAATTTTTACTGCAGTGCATTGTATATTTCTGTGTGTTTGTGTGCGTACGTGAGCATCACCTCTTATATTGTTTACCAAATTGTTCCTTTTTTTCTAAAGAACATTCCCATGAAAGTTGTGTAAGGAGTGTGTGTGTGTGTACGTACCACTTTAGGGAATAAAGACAAAATCAAATCAGTGGGAACACAGAAAGGGAAGAAAGACTAGAAAATTTATTGTTTAAGAAATGATTTCACCAGATAAGAAAATCTATGCATGCATGGGAAAGTAATTAATCAGGGCAAACAAAAAAATAACTACATCATTAAAATCAAATTCAAAATAATTCATAATAATAACTTTTTTTTTTGAGTGGATATCATTGTGCGTAGAATTCTGGTAGTATATTACATATATATATATACTACTTATAAGTAGTAAATTCGATTCATCAAAAATTGTATTGCTTAAAACATATAGATATAGGTGAGCATAAGAGGACGTGATCAGTGGAGCTCAACTCTGTAGGGTGTTGGCAATAATCAGTGAGGTTGTACAAAATCCCTAGATTGATCAGACATTACATACATTAATACTGATCGGTACCGGCCCACTGGTACAGAGCTTAAGCCTTCACGTGCATGACCGAAGGTTTTAGGTTTGAATGCTGCAAGTAGCAGTAGTCATATTCACGACGAAACGGCGGTCCAGTACTTCTAGGTTTCTAATGGTGGTCTAACGACGATTGATTCATGATTTCAGTCATAAAATTTGTTTAATAGTGTACTGGGAGAAAACACTGAAAGATAGGATGTCGGGGTTGTTTAGACCTAGAATTTCGTTTTAAAAAAGTCCACAACTACATTCCTATCAGAAACTGGACCTCCAGATTTCTGAAGCAAAGACACAGTTTATACTGGTGTTTGATTATGTTATTATATAATGAATTGATCAGAGTTAGGAACATTAACAGCTGGGTCTGAACCCACTGATCTAATTGTAGTAAGATGGTATAGTCATGAACGTTGGTTTTGAATCGGATCTTCAGTGAAGTGCTGAGAAGTCGCATTTTGCATAGGGACATTAGGTTACCAATAAAAGCCTAGCGCTGAAGTCAGTCTTTGGCAAATACCGTATTCAAATATTTTCAGAGATAAGAACGAACATAAGTGGGTGTAGGATTCAAAGCTGCAAGCTCTCTAAACACAAATCTATCATTCGAGGTATTTTCTAATGATACCCAGTGTAAGGATAATATTTCACGGCATGATTCTTCAGCTAATTTAGGTCAGTCAGACAAATCAACTTAAAAGTCTATGAAATTTTAACGAAACTTATGAAATTTTATGTATTTGTTTGTGTTATGCCCGTCACTCGATATGCTTGAAACTATTACGAGTTCACACCTTAGTCGATAAACGAGAACGAGACAATGAACCAGTGACACGGTAGGCTACTCTGATCTGTTGTCCCTACTAACTGAAGAAAAAGTTTTGATATGGCGTAGAAAGTGTATTCTACAAACACCCAGCCAGCACACAAATCGCGTTTATTTATACATCATAGAAACGTCCTTGGGAGATTAAAACAAAATAGCACACTTATATAATATATTAATCAATCACAGCCAAGGATTTTCCTGGTGGGAATGTGATCTCAAGGTTAACTGATCAGCCCACGAGCAAAATCCAAAATTAAGGCCTTTATTAAGTGAGTTCTGGCGATCTAACGTCCCAACAGTTTGCTGCTTTTCAGCTAAGGGATTATATTGTACTGAGTTACTTACTTACTTACACCTGTTCCCCCAATAGAGCTTAAGTTATGGTCATGCATTCTCCAACCTATTCTATCCTGGGATTACTTTTCCAATCCTAGGCAACTTCGGTTCATTCGTTTTATCTCTGCCTGCGATTCTCGGTGAAATGTGTTCTACGAATCGTCCTCCTTTCCTTTGGCCTTGAGGATTCCACCAAGTGACGGTTTGCTTTGTGATGAGTTGGGTGCTTTCCTCAATGTATGTCCTATCCACCTCCAGTGGGTTTTCCTAATTTCTTCCTCTCCTGGAATCTAGTTTATTCTCTCTCACAGTAGGTTTTTGCTGATGGTATCTGACCAACGGATCAACAGTATCTTGTGTAGACAACTGTTAATCAACACCTGTATCTTGTGGATGATGGCTTTTATAATTCTCCAAGTTTCTGCGTCATACAATACAACTATCTTGACGTTTGTATTGAAAATCATGACTTTGGTGTTGACTTATTGACAGTTGTTTTGAGTTCCATACGTTTTTGAATTATAGCAATAATGTCTTTGCTTTACCAATCTGCCCCTTCATATCTGTGTTAGATCCACTTTGCTCATCAATGATGCTGTCCTCTAAAGCTTCTCCATCAAGTGTGATTTGGTTGGTGTATGTTGTGTCGTATCACAGCATTATACTGTCCTATGCATATAAAATTATTTCGGCTTGTAGTATTGCCCTATATCAAAGCTTATCCGAATAGCACGCCGTGATGTGATTGGTAAAGAAATAGTCAACTAAAGAGAAGGAATATGCCACAGTTGTTCACTTAAAACACAATTAGATATGGATGTAGTTTCTATGCAAAACCATTAATCTTGAAAAAAAAGCTAATAAAAAATCCTTCTTGTATTTCAACCTTCAACCATTTCTAAAAACCAAAGTGGTTTTACTTAGCATTGAGCAGATGTACCGCGTAAACACTGATCTTAAGCTAGACTATCCCATGAAAACCTAGAATTACTGGATAGCCGTTTCGTCTTAGTATAGGACACCACATGCTGGAACTGAACCAAGGAACGTCGACTCCTAGATCAGTGAGTTTATATCTATTAATAACTAGTCAAAATGATATACTACTGTACTTACAGTATGACCAGAATATGTATCCAAATATTGTTCATTATAGGAATAGGAACATTTATATATTGGTCCACTTTCAGTTCCAACGACGTAACTTTATTGTGTAAAGAAAAAAAAGTGAAATTCAAACTCTAAAAAAATGTTTGTTTTAATGATTAGAAATTTTGCACATGAATAATAGTGAATTATTATATTACAGTGACTTTAAGTGCACGAGAGCTGAGGTCTTGGGTTCGAGTCCTGCCAGGAAAAGAAGTCGTGGATGCGCACTACTGATGAATCCCATACTAGGACGAAACAACCCTCCAGTAATTCCGAATTTCTAAATGTGGCCTAACAATCATTCATTCATGATTTAGTTGTAAAACATTGATCACAATAATACTACTATAATGAAAAATAGATTGAAATTGCCCTCTTAAATGTAACTAATCATTTACATAAGCACACACACACACACAAACACTATTACACTTACATACTTGATTCACGTTTATTAAAAGCCATACTTGTTGCAAACGCTGTTCGTGATATCAGAGCTTCATTTCTTTGAGCTGCTTTCCTTGGAGTTAAAACATTCGAATATGCTTGTTTAAGTACCATTAGATCTAACAGAAGGGAAATAAGCAGTATCTATTAGAATGGAAGCTGATTATCAATACAAATATTTCGTATGTACAAGTTTTTTAATATTGTTATTACTTGGGAGTAAATTATTAATGATATGATCAAACCGAAGCCTAAACATTTTTACTATAAACTTACACTACTTATATTTTAACAGTAGTTAAAAATACAAACAAAAATTCAGTGTCATCAAATAGGTTGAAGTTTGTAAGACTATGGAGCACCTCAATAACTAACACCGCCCGGAGCTATTCTTGGGTTATTGCCAGTCCCAAGACCGAATAAAGGAGGAGGGTTGAGTATGGGGTTAGCGATACTACTCCGCAGAAATCGAAATCGCTAAAAAATATGCTAACCAAAAAAATAATTTGCTGGTCGGCGGCACATGCTCCATTAGGAATAACAGGCGTCAGTAAGTAAGTAATTACCTCAATAACTGACCAGTCATATGGTTGCTAATAAATAATAGCTTTAATATAAATGTCTTAAGTCATGGTTACAAGTTGTGACTTATGATATGTAACTATGTATAAAGTTTGATGTCACTGATGGTGATATCAGTTGATCGATGTTTGATGTTACGAATTGACTGATGTTGAAAACAGGGCACATTGGGTCGAAGGCTAACGAGATCTCTACAAGAATTCGCGGTAGTAGTTTCGATCCTAGACTATATACTGGGTGTACTTGGTTAGGAGGGGTTCTCATGAAAGGAAGAAACAACAGTTCAGTTCTTATTGGCTTTCAGTGATTCAAAATTAATCCACCGTAAAATTACCTTAAAATAGATATATTTTCGCGATCAACCAGCCAATAAATGAACGTCTGTTTCTGTTAGGATATTCATCCAATATCCCAAGAGAACTACTTGTCAGTTTCTAATAGTTAATTCCTACTGCTCAATTTTATGGTCGTCCTAGATATCAATGCCACCTACTCCAATGCTGTTTCCTATTGGTCGTCTTAACTGTCAATGTCACAGAATTCGATGATGTTTCCTTTTCCACCTAAATGTATAAATACGCATTATCAGTAACGTTTTAGGGACCGGACGCCGACCCAGACCCGGATCCCTAGTCCGTGATCCTTATTCTCTTCTGGAATCAGACTTCATACTTTCTGGATGCTTGTAGAATACAGCTTCTACTTCATATCAAGTCTTCTTCTCTCACTTAATGGGGGTTGAGACACATGGATTTGAGTAGCATGTTATGTCGCCGGATCCTCGATCCTCGATCTCGTTTTCTGACTAAGGTAAACTCGTAATAATTCAAGCTTATCAAAGTGATATATTTACATTGATGCGTAACAGTTTCTTTCTACTTCAGTCACAGTAACTCTAGAGGTAACCAGGGATAAAGGCTTCAGATATCGTAGAAAACTTAGTAAAGTTAAACTAGTGAGTTTGTATCTAACATTTCGCATTCTTCAACTTAGTCAATCTACGATTAATATGTAACCACTGTGTGAGATCATAAAGGAGTATTTTTACAGAAATATTAGCTTAGGAGATAAAAAAATATATATATACAGATGCATAAACTAAATTAACACAAAATAATATCTACCTGCACTTTCAAAACCTTTACGAATAAACCATTGAGTTATTCGACCATCATTAGATACTGATACTAAAACTTCTTGTAAATTTTCCTCTGAACCTGATTCTTTAGGAATCCATTGTAATTTACGTATAGGTCCTAAATGTCTTCCTGATGCATATCTGTGAAAAATTAAAAAAATATGTCAGTCAGCTACAACACAAAACCTACTATGTACATACATTAGGGTTCGAAGAAATTGTTCAAGAGGTATAAACCAGTGAGGTAAATTTCAAAAGAGAAAGATTAGGGTGATGAGAAATTCAGATAATAATTTTTTGGAGAAGATAAACAATCGATAAATCGCAAACAGCTTTTGAGCTTTGTTATCCGAAGTCTCTAACTACCGGTTACTGATATGGCTCAGCCCACCTGTCAGTGACTTCACAGATTTTTGCCATGTATTGGTTTGGCCATCCCTAGTTTTTTGCCAACCTACTCTTACACCAGACGATATCGCTCGTCGAAGTAGTCGGTGGTTGGGCATACGTAACATATATCCCTACCATCTCAACTGATGAAGATTCACTACTTCATCAATTAACCTGCCACTTTTACCCAGTACCTATTTCCTAACACCAGAAATGCCTACTCGATTGTCTCAGGATATACAATCAATGCTTTGACGACACCTATAATTGAATACTAGCAACCGACGAAAATCTTTTGTTCCTAATGGCCATGTTTCACACTATTATAGTGGACCGGTTACTCAGGGTGTTTTTATTGGGTAGTTTTTAATATGCAAGCCCCACTCTTCAGAAGGCCTTACCACCGGCGGCGGAAATCCGTGAGGTAAGCTCAGGTGTGGCATTTTTAGGGTTTACCGTTTATAACCCCTTCCCTCCGTTGTGAAAAGGGAATATCGCTGCAGATGCTGGTCGACTGAGAAAAACATCTTGTTGCCGTCACACTTCCCTACAGTCAGCATTACAGCTTTGCTCTCAGACCTTCAGTTGCTACTTCTAGTCTTATCGTTCTCCAATTGACTTGCCTGGCATGGTAAGACTTAAATTAACATTACTCGGCGGAGTCATCACGATAGGAAAGTCAGACTACTGTGTCAAGGCAGCAACTACGGTCAGGACGCCCATGTACGTTGCTAGGCAAGCCTTAATTTGGAGCCCTCATAGCCTAAAGAAAAAGAGGCAGACTAAAGAACAAACTGTGCTGGGAATTAGAGGCAGACATCAAATGAATACTTATCAATCGAGAAAAATTGAAAAGGAGATTGGGGAACAAAGTTGGCTGGTGAATGCCAGTCAGTGTGGTCTATGCTCCACAAGGATAACGGGCGTAAATAAGTAGTAATTAAGTATTGACTAGAAAATTACTACATTTTACTAACTAAGCATTTGATATACTCTTATATTAATGTTCATTATCTGACTAAACACTATCTGATCAATTTATTGAGTTAAATTCTATCATTTGGGTGGAATCAGTTTATATGATGGAGAGAATGAAGTCTGTTAACAAAGAAGGTGAACAATGAATACAGTGTAAATAAGTATTCACTCAACTTCAAAACTTATTAATAGCTAAAATGAATTAAGTACTACTTACGTATGAAGACCTCATTATTTCAGTTTGTATGAAACTAAAGCTTTGTGATTACAATCCAAAACGACCTTGAGCTTTTGGAATAGTTTTGTATAATTGGCGTCATTAATGTTAGTAGTGTGAATGAAGTTTAACCCATTGTCCTAATGTTTTTTTTAAACTGCTGGGTTCACAAACTGTTACGCATTGAACGTAAACACGTCATTTGGTATGCTTGGATTATTACGAGTTTACCTTAGTCGGAAAACGAGATCGAGGATCCGGCGACACGACATGCTACTCTAATCCGATTGTCCCAACTCCCGTTGAATAAAAGAAGAAGACTTGATATGAAGTAGAAGCTGTATTCTACAAGCATCCAGAAAGTACGAGGTTAGAGTCCAGAATAGAATCAGGACCCCGGACTAGGGATCCGGGTCCGGTCCCTAAAACCTTACCGATAATGCGTATTTATACATTTAGGTGGAAAAGGAAACATCATCGAATTCTGTGACATTGACAGTTAAGACGACCAATGGGAAACAGCATTGGAGTAGGTGGCACTGATATCTAGGACGACATTAAAATTGAGCAGTAGGAATTAGCCAATGGGAATTGGCCAATAATTCTCTTAGAATATTGGATAAATATCCTAACACAAACAAAATATCTTGAGAATGTACTAGTGTGGTGTGAGCTACTTATAAGTAGTATATGACGTGAGTGTCAACGTAATGTCTGGCAGCAGAAGATGGGGGAAGATCAAGAAAGGAAGAGTTAGAACACAATGGAATTTGTATGAAACGCATGAATAGTGACAATGGATTGATGTTTTGCAACAGGAACAGTCCAGTTCGATATGACGAACTGATATTTTGCAAATTAACAACTTGGTTTTCCAATTTTACTGAGTAACTCTGTAATTTTCGTTAAATACAATCGGGTTGCCCCACCTTTGTTCTCCTTGACTACACTAGTAATCTGACTACATTCTCAGAAGTAAATAGGAAACTGTAGCACATTTAAAAATCAAGTATATTCTTGGCTATTTTCTTCTATATTTGAAGACACCCAGATTGTGTCATAAACCCGTGTCTGACAGCCCAGCTTCGGCCGAAACTTCAGGACAACACTCTACTGCACACTGACTGCACACAAGTTACAGGCTCCGTTGTGAGTAGTAAAAACCGGAATAGGAAGACCGACTGGCAAATACAAGGTACAAATGTAAGTACTTCGTTGTGAGTAAACGACATATTTGTTTATTCAAATACTTACGTGGTATCAATTACCGGGAGTTGATCATCTTTCTGTACATCGTAAACAAAAACTACACCATTGGACATTCCAACCTGTACAGTTTAAAACAAAAGGAAAAACAATGAACAAGCTTGAAATAGTAGGATAGAAATTTTGAACACTAAATAGTTTGAAATGATAATTTCACCGGAAAGATTCATTAAAATAATAGATAGCAAATAATTACCGAAAAAATGTAATTTTAGTAAAGTGAAACGATTCAGAAATCACACTGTAAATTCTTAACAAAATGAACAATTAACTTATTTCATTATGGAGTTATGAAGATTTCTCCTAGTATGGGACTTATCAGCAGCGCTCATCCACGACCCCTGATCAAGAACGCTTAACCCGTGGATCAATGAGCCAGCGGTGTTAATGTTTGAGTTCGATCATTCCAGGGTATTCTTTTACCTATTGTCTTCGGTATGTAACTGACTGCAACCGATAGCGCTGAACTCCAACGGTCATGGCTTCTCACTGGAACTCCGAGAATTTCCTCTCGAAGCTAGTCATTAGTGAACAAAAGTTAGACCTGAGCACCGTTGGATGCCGACCCAGTGGTCCACAATTTAAGCGTTCTTTGGAGAAACTGTAGGTCCTGGGTTCGATTCCAGTGGGAGGGGATCGTGGATGCGCACTAGTGATAATAGCTCTCATACTAGCAGGATTCTCTATAACTCTATGGCCTGGGGGAGGAGAATGCATCTATGGCTATTTGCTCATAGGAATTTATGAACTCTGGGAAATACACTGTTTTTATACATATAACGTATATTAGCGGGAGGACACTTCTATGCTTATATGAGCCTACCTAATAGGTAGATCTAGTCTTATATTTGTATAAAATGTATACTAGCGACCATATCCATCTATGCCTACGTGCATGTCACTGTTACAAATATGTCTCAATAGGCTAACTGACTTTCCTCCTGGAGTGGCAAGGTTATAATTAACTAATGAGCAAACTGCCTGGTCAGCAAAACATTTTCTGATAAGCTGAATCTATATATGTGTTGGGGACGTTAGATCAACAGAATTCACTTGGAAAGGTCTAAATTTTGTAATTTCATTCTGAATTTTTGAATTTCCATGTTTTCGCGCCAGATTACCTTCAGCTCACATCTCCCTCTCGGATAATCCTTGACTGATATTGGTTGATGGATTATTTTAGCACACTATTTTGTGGCTGGCCTTCTCAAGGGCGTTTTTATCATGTTTAAATAACCTTAATTTGTTTGCTTGTGAACCTCGTATTTTCTGGGTGTTTGTAGAATACATTCTCTATGCCTTATCAAGACTTCTTGATACAGTTAGCGGGGCGTAGGATAAACGGATTAGAATAACCTATCGTGTCACTGAGTCATTGCTTTCGTTACGTTTATCGAATACGGTGAAATCGTAATAGCATGCAAGCATATCAGTTGACGAGCATATAAATATGATATTATCTAGTGTTTACTTCTGATGAATAGCTTTATACAGGATGAAGAGAATGTGGCTAGCAGTGGAATTCAGAACGAGCATTTCATCCTGGATGTACCTGTATCTCACAGTTGGTGTTCACTTCAGGACTTGAAGCCGGTACTATTCACATCAAACGTCTTACCAATGACATTCCTAGACATCAAGAGGGGGATTCAAACAACTTAAAGAACAGTCAGTCAAATAATTTCATTCAAAGCTGTTGACTTTGAAAATACATTCAGTTTGTTGAACACTCTTATGAAGTCACTAGAATATTTCGATCGACACTACGAGTTTTTCGTTGTCAATGAAGATCCTAATAGAGGCAGTTCACACTAATAAGAGTACAAGTAAAAGGGGAGTGAAAAATAAGCAGAGCAATCAGGGCATTCTTCCAAAGATGCGCATATAAATAAAGATGAACATTGAAAGTGGAGAAGAATAAAAATTTTAAATATTTGAAAAGTGACTGATCAATACAAATGAATTCATTTTCATTCCATTGTACAAGTGAATGGCTGTTTGAACTCATTAGCTAAGTAGATTGATTGTGGCATAGTGTTTAAAGTCAACGTTATTGGGCTGGATTCCCCCGAAGTGAACACCAACTCTGAGGTGCTACTGGTAAGTACATCCAACTCACAAGTCCTGAATATAGGATAAAACAAGAGTTTTGGCTTCCACCGCTAATCGCGTTATCCACCTTCATTTGATTTTCTTTTACAAAGAATAAAGTTGTGTTATATTCATTGAAAGATATACTAATAATAATAATAATAATAATAATAATTTACATATATTTATAACTTACAGCTAATAAATTAGGATGAAATTTTGACCAACCAACAGCAGTTACACTATTTGGTGTTTTATAACAACGTTCAGGGTGTTCAATAAGTTTCAATGACCAACAACAAACTAAACCTTTCTGTTGATTATTATATTCAAATTGTCCATAACCAACAGCTAAAATATTGAGATTTTGTTTATTCCATGCCATATCTGTAATACTATAACCCTGTTTGATTGTTTTGTAAATGTTTTTTTTTTGATTTTGTATATTTTTTTTAAAAAAAGGTATAAAATTATTAATCACGTATATATACTACTGATTACTTGTGTTTGAAAGTAAAAATTTTTCAAATTTCAGCTTCAAGTTTATTCATTCACATCAATATAGATAGGATGTGTACGGCATGAGAGTAATTAGGTTTTGAAAACTCTATTATACGTGATTTATTTGAGGTTTTCATTGGTTGAAACTTATCTACCTAAATTAAGTATTTGACTTGTGCTGGTACGGTATGAGGGCGGTTATCACTTGCCAGCTGCCCACACCGTGGAAGGTTGTTTCTTAAGGGACCTGAAAAGGAAGATAGATTAGTGTTGGTCTTCGGGACCTGGGAGCCTGACCGCAGAGTTCAAGGGACCACTGCTTGATGCCGGTAACGCACGGCCTTTTCATGAAAGGATTTTTGAGTATTAGCTCCGCTCTTAAAGGCCCTTAGTGGGCACCCTTACCGCCGGAGACGGAAATCCGTGAGGTAGGGTGAGGTGTGACATTTTTAGGGCCAACCTTTTCTAACCCTTCCTTCCTTGTGAGAAGGCAGCATCGCTGCAGATGCTGGTTGTCCGAGGGAAACACCTTACTGCTGTCATACATCTCTGCAGTCAGCAGTATGACTTGGCACTCAGACCTTGAGTAGCTGCTTTTAGTCTCATCGTTCTGCAATCGACCTGCCTGGCATGGTAGGACCTGTAGGAACATATGTTGTAGCCAGTATAACTCGGTTGGGTCGGGTGACATGGCTCAAAATCGTTCGCAATGGCGCCGGTGCATTTATTCTTTGTGTTCTCTCAAATCCTAATCTTCTGGATTCTTCAACCCCTCTAGTTTTGACTTTCTAAACTTTTTTCACTGAATCATACTTCTTGAATAATATCTTCTAATCCTAACCTCTCCGATTACTTCTAATACCTTTACTACCTCTTCTACTATTGGATTTGAACTGACAATTAAATCTCTGTGCTGATGTGGTATGGCAACATGAACTGGTGTAGTTACGTACGAAGTTCTACGTTGGATCTGACTGACTGACTGAAGTATTTGACTTATGTGGAGAGAGAAAATTAAGGGAACGTTTAGGAAAACTATAGTTTACTTTAAAAAAAAACAGTCAACGTTATACGGAATTCTTATGATGGACTATATATACAGAATAATTGTGCCTAAAGGAAAGCTCACAGAGTGATTCTAGGTGAAGATCGGTGTCAGACAAGGCTGTTTTCTCTCACCTTTTCTATTTCTTCTGGTTTTTGTTAAAACCTTTACAACTGAAGGAGAATCAAGGAATTCGGTGATCAACTTGGATATTTTGCTGGATGATTTAAATTCCTTAGATGACCTAGCTGTTCAAACCCACACACATTAACGAATGCAGATGAAGATGGCCAGTGTAGCAGTGGTAGGCTTTAACATGTACATAAAAGAACAAGTCACTTCTTTAGAGACAGTAAAACATGTGTCAACAAAGTCAGATTTGATTGAAAATCCCTGCTAGATGAAGAAACGTTCACATAACTTGACAGCATCGTCAATAAACAAGGTGAATCTGATGCAGATGGGAAGACATAAAGTGACATAGAAATGTTAGTATTCTTATGTCTCTTATCCAACATCCAGCTCACAATTTCGAATACGAACGTCCAGAAAATTCCATTGTATGGAACGAAAAGTTTGAGAACTATGAAAGTTGTTGTTCACGAGATACAAGTGTTTATTAACAATTGTCTATACAAGACACTAAGGATCTGTTATCCAGAAACCATGACGTTCAAATCTAGAACACCGTACATCCATAACAAACAGTTATTGATATATCATCACAAATTGCACATCGTTTATTTTTTTTTTACATCAATAAGACCATTGTAACAAGAAAGTTACGACAATTTGAAAATTTAATCAATTCCACATACGAATAAATTCATAGCAAACAGAAAAAACAATCGTAATGATTGTTTGATTGATTGATTGATCGATTTACCTTAGTCATTGAACAAAGAAAACGCCATAATTGAACAACACGTGGAATGGTTGGAGGATTATTCTCTTCTTTAGCTGGTGGATTATGATGATTACTATCGGTAGTTGTTGTTGAATTTTCAGTTGGCAATGGTGATGTGGGTGTATCGTTTCCAGTGGAATCATCCATGTTTAAAGTTTGATTCGGTAGAGTTTGATTCATTTCAGGACTGGATTTTACCAATGAATCGGATGAATCTAAATTGGATTGATCTAGAAAAATATAATATGTTGAATGTTTGCAAAACAAATATATATATATATATATATATATATTTCATAAAGTACCTATATGATACACCTGCACATAAACACGTAAACTTGATATGCTTGAACTATTACGAGTTTACCTTAGTCGGAAAACGAGAGTGAGGATCGAGGATCCGGTGACACGACATGCTACTCTAATCCAATTGTCCCAACCCCCATATTGAGTAAAAAATAAGAAGACTTGATATGAAGTAGAACCTGTATTCTACAAACATCCAGAAAGTACAATGTCCGAATCCAGAAGAGAATCAGGATGCGGGACCGGGTCCTGGTCCTGGTCATAAAAGCTTACAGATAATGCGTATTTATACATTTTGGTCGAATAGGAAACAGCATCGAAGTCTGTGACATTGGCAGTTAAGACGACCAATAAGAAGCAACATTTGAAATGGCATTGATAGCTAGGACAACCAATAAGAAACAACGTTGGAGCACGTGACATTGGTATCTAGGACGACCATAAAATTGACCAGTAGGAGTTAACCAATAAGAATTGATCAATAATTTTCTAAGGATATTGGATGAATATCCTAACACTATATATTTATATATATCTCATCAGCAGTGTATATCCAGGATCACTGCTCGCGGGAGTCGAACTCATGACCTTCGGTTTTGCAGTTTTTAATCAAACTCAGCAATCTAGATGAGGTTGTGCAATATCAAGGATTAAATAAAGTTAGACATTAACAGCATTTTTAGGTGCGACTGACTCAGTGATGTACAGGTTAAGCGTTCACATGCGAGACCGAACGTCATGAGCTTGATTCCTGTGAGCAGGGGTCTTGGATGAGCACTGCTGATGAGTCATATACTAGGGAAGGTACGGACCTCTCATGCTTTCAAGATTCTCAGTGGTAGTTTAACAATGAATGATTTGTTATTTCAGTTAAACTTACATTGTTTTAAAATTAAACTTTGATACTTTATTAATTGTTCATGATATATATTCAGATTTAATGCACGTTCCATAAAGTTCAAATCTTTTTTCATTTTTGGAGTCTAAAAAGATAAGTAATTAATTTTGAAAGCGAAAATTTTAACAATCAAATGTAAAACAAATATGCAAAACCTATTCATTACATTTATGATTTTAAATGGTTATAGTAGATACTACTTACAACGTAGTTTCTAAGTGGTGTGCAGTAGGGTGTCACTAAAAAGTTACTAACAAAAAAAAGAATATCATGTCGAAATGTATGAATAGACCAAAGTATTTTGAAGACTAGAAGAGTTGTGTAGAAAAAGACAGTCAATAATCTAAGTGTATTTCATATGACTTTTCTGAAGATTAGGTGTACATATTTTGTTAATAAATGGTATCTTCTCCAAATGTCTATCTTCATTTCATCTGTTAATCACTTCATTATAGTGAGGAACATTGTTGAGTTTCATTAAATTCACGAATCAACGATTGTTAAACCACAATTAGAAACCTGGAAGCATTGGAAGGCCGTTTCGTCCTAGTATGGGACTCACCAGCAGTGCACATTATCAACCCTCGGTCGCAGGAGCCGAGCCCTAGACCTCCGAACACGCATGCGAACGCCCAACCTGCAGACTACTGAGCCGGCGGCATCCGATGGTGTTGATGTCTAACTTCAACTAATCAGTTTCAATGAAACTCAACAACCTTCACAACCCTACAGTGATAGTTATATCATGACTAAATGTCTAACTGATTGAATGGTATCAAGTTGCTTATTCCAATGGTGATATGCTCTCAGAAAATTATATAACAAATAAAACAGTCTGAATAAAATACCAGTCTCTCGTATTTGTTTGATTGTTCTACTCGACTTTGAGAAACTAATGAGGTGAGACTATAGTTTGCGGACGACCTTGGATTGGCAATAATGTGACCTTGAGAAAACTCATCTTCTCACCTAGGAACGCAGAATTGAGGCTGATAGTTAGAAATTAGGGTTGGGAATTAGAATTCAAGATTGTAATCAATTATAACGGTAAAATACTGTTTGAGCCTAAAAATAAACTCCACTATTGTTTTCGATTTCACCATCGTATCTCTCAACCAGTCAGAATGAAACGAGAATCATTATCTTATCCTAAAAGCTTCTACATTCACAATACTCAATAAATGTTTGCTTATAGTCAGCCATGAACAATGAAAGGTATTTATTCTATGACAGAACTATCACTTCATCCTGGTACGGATGTATCAAGTGTAAAGTGATCATTCATGATTAAATAAAAATTACAACACACCAAAAGTCACGCCACCGTTTAATTAATTTTACATTAAAAATTATTCCAAAATATCTACAGATTACTAGCAGTTTTCACTGATTACGATTAGCATATACATGGCTAACGTTCGCGCCAAAATCCAAGGCTCAAATCTGATTGGTTCTTGCATTCACCAATCATGTGACCAAATACATTTAAATTCGATTATACAGGGTTATGGCAAAAAAAGCAGGTGTAAATTTTCTTCTTTTTAATACTAACCTCAAGTAATCCTAATGCATCTGTTAACTGATTTACTGGAGTTATAATGTTGTTTTGAAGAAATGTATAATCTGATTCAGTATTAGTATTCAATGTCTCACCTGTAAATTAATAATAATATTAACCAAGAAGATTACTATTAGTATCTGTAAAGAATAATACATTAAAATTCTTATGAATAAAATAGTTCATTGAACTGATGAGTAGAAAAAAAAGATGGGAGCTTTTATGAATTTGGTTGGTTGATGTTTTTTAACAGACTTGTTTTCTACAAGATGCAACACAGAAGGCGTCAATCAGATCACACCTGATTGAAAGGGTCTGGGAGATGTGGGAACTTTCACATAGTTGGACAGTATCATCGATAAAAAGGGTGAATCTGATGCAGATGTGAAGAAATGGATGGAGCGGGAAGCTGGAGAATTACGAAAGCGATTGTCCACAAGATACATGTGGTTATTAACAGTTGTCTACGTGAGATACTGAGGATCCGTTAACTTGACACCATCATCAGCCACCTACTATGGGAGAGAACAAACCTGATTTCACCAGACCAAGAAATCAGGAAGAAGCGGTGGAGGTGGATAGGTTACACATTGAGAAAATCACCTAACTGAATCACAAGGCAGGCTCTAATTTGGAACCTTCAGGGTGAAAGGTCAAGAAGTGAACGGGAGAACACACTGCTCCGAGAATGCACAGAGGTTGGGAACAACTGGAAAGGAGAAAGACTTTGAAGTTGATTGTAGAATCGTGGTCGATGATTTATGCTTCACAATGTACAAAGGGCATATGATTCACCGAGCATTCAATCACCTAAAAAATTGTTTATTCAAAATGGAAGCCACCCAAAAACAGTCTCAAAATAACTTGACAGCAGTTTGCGGTAAAGTTATATATATTCCATCGATGACTCTAAAGCAAGAAATCAAATATAACCTATTCGATAAGCGAATTTAAAACATTTTTGTATTTAGCTTGTTACTAAAATTCTTTAATTTTCACTACATTTAGTATTTAAAAATGATTGGATGATAATTTGGTTACTTATGGTACAGACTATTATTAAAATCTTTGTGATTGGAGTGGTTAAGACGATGAATATTTTAAGGGTGTTAGGAATGAGACTTAAGAATAGTTGAAATTCAGGATTAAAGTTAGGATCTAGAGTTTTGGGGAGCGTGTTACAGTTAGAAGTCGGGTTTCACAGAGATGATAGGCTAAGCAATAATAAGGTTCATTATAAGTGTTGATGACCAAACTATGCTGATCTTAATCCTTGGAAATTTTCATCGACTTTAGTTTTTTGTGTGTAGTTTTGGAATTCTCATATAAAAAGTTGCATTCTATTTTACTTGAATAATTTCTCTACAGGTCACACTACAACTTTTACTTACTTCTTAAATTGTGAAATGATTCTAATCCTTGACTTGTTTCCATTTTTCTACCAGTTAAACTATCAATCAATAAGGGTTGAGTATTTTCCAATAGTCCACTGTCATTTTGATGACCAAATTGATTCTTGTTTAAATCAGTTTGTGATTTCTTTCGATGCGAATTTATTTCATCATTATCTAAAACAAAAATATCACTTTAAAACCATTAAACTACTTTTATACTATCAATATAATAAAAATGTATTCACACTTGAACAAATTAATCCCGCGCGCTATTTGAACTTTGTTATTAAATTGGATAATGGGATGATGCATTTGAAGCGAATGATGCTGTTTTATTAAAGTCCAGAAGTGAAATATCAATTCTGCGGAGTTTTCATCTTTGTTCCGGACAGAAACATTCTCAATGTTAACACTTCTTGGTGATTCCACCAGTACAATGTCAATCTTCCCAAGTGATGTTGATCATGGATGAAGTATCCCTCTGTGGATTTGGTTGTTTTGAATGATCACTGTATGCACGTTGACTGTTTTGATCTGTTGACCTTGAACCAGGTTACTGACTAGCCTTTATGAATAGATTGGGTCGAATTTAATGTGTTCATTGATTTCTGATCGGTCTAAATGTTTTGGGGCATAGTTTTGGAGGTTTGTGTTTTTACACATTTGAAATCATCAATCAATCACTATTAGACCAACATTAGAAACCTGGAAGCACTGGAAGATGGCCGTTTCATCCCACAATGGGACTCATCAGCAGTGCTCATCCACGACTCCTGCACCTCGCAGGATTCGAACCCGGGACCTTCGATATTGTGCGCGCACGCCTAACCATCGGACCACTGGGCCGGTACCTAACGGTGTTAATGTCTAACGAAAAAGGATAATCAATAAATTAATGTTCGTGAATGAAAAACCCGTTTTATGTCTGAAGTTGATCACTTTTAAGTATTTATCCACAGCCATCTATCATCAGACAGTTAAGGCTGAATGTTACTATCGAGTTGTGGTGATTGTTGAACTTCATTGAAATCAAGAACTGATGACTCTCAACAGGTGCTGCGTATACGGACTATTGACAGATACCGCACTAGGACGAAACAGCTGTTCAGTACGTTCAGATTTCCTGTGGTGGTAGTTTAACACTGACCAGTTAACGATTTCAATGACACAATGATTTTACTTGTCATGAAAAACATCAAAAAATTATCTTGTTCATTAGTTTAATGAAGAAATTATTGGGAAAAAAATAATTGACACCATAGAACAGTTCTACTGTATGGAGCGGAAACTTGGAGAACTTGGAGAAAACCATCATCCAGAAGATACATGTGTTCATGAACAGTTTTCAAAGCAAAATACCTCGGATTAGCTGGCCAATCACCGTCAGGAACAACCGTCCAGATTTCAGCAGAGGAAGAAATTAGGAAAAAGCGCTGGGAGTGGATAGGAAACACACACTGAGGACAGACTAAGTTGGAGAATGCTAGTTGACGGCCTATGCTTCATCCACTGGGGGGAACAGGCTTGATAAGTAAGTAAGTAAATAAGTAAGTAAGTAAGTAAGTAAGTAAGTAAGTAAGTAAGTAAGTAAGTAAGTAAGTAAGTAAGTAAGTAAGTAAGTAAGTAAGTAAGTAAGTAAGTAAGTAAGTAAGTAAGTAAGTAAGTAAGTAAGTAAGTAAGTAAGTAAGTAAGTAAGTAAGTAAGTAAGTAAGTAAGTAAGTAAGTAAGTAAGTGAGTAAGTAAGTAAGTAAGTAAGTAAGTAAGTAAGTAAGTAAGTAAGTAAGTAAGTAAGTAAGTAAGTAAGTAAGTAAGTAAGTAAGTAAGTAAGTAAGTAAGTAAGTAAGTAAGTAAGTAAGTAAGTAAGTAAGTAAGTAAGTAAGTAAGTAAGTAAGTAAGTAAGTAAGTAAGTAAGTAAGTAAGTAAGTAAGTAAGTAAGTAAGTAAGTAAGTAAGTAAGTAAGTAAGTAAGTAAGTAAGTAAGTAAGTAAGTAAGTAAGTAAGTAAGTAAGTAAGTAAGTAAGTAAGTAAGTAAGTAAGTAAGTAAGTAAGTAAGTAAGTAAGTAAGTAAGTAAGTAAGTAAGTAAGTAAGTAAGTAAGTAAGTAAGTAAGTAAGTAAGTAAGTAAGTAAGTAAGTAAGTAAGTAAGTAAGTAAGTAAGTAAGTAAGTAAGTAAGTAAGTAAGTAAGTAAGTAAGTAAGTAAGTAAGTAAGTAAGTAAGTAAGTAAGTAAGTAAGTAATTAGGCAAGTCAGTAAGTAAGTAAGTATGTAGGTAAGTTAGTTAGTTAGTTAGTTAGCTAATAAGTAAGTAAGTAAGTAACAGAATAGTAACATGAGAATAAAGTGAGAATATGAAGACAGAAAACAATGAAAAAGTCATCATTTACCTTCTAACAATTTTAATTCGGCTTCTTTATTTTCTTGTTCATTGTCGTGTTTTGCTTGTTCCTCTTCATACGTATCAACCATATCCCAATTTGTAGCCATACATGATTTATTTTGTACATCAATTTGTTCGGTTTGAATTAGTTTATTAATTAATGGTAAACTAAATGTCATCATACCACGTTCAATAAATCGAACACTACCAATTTTCGATGCGATTAACTATTATATAGAAAAAAAAGAATAATAAAAGGATTTAAACAAACTAGTTTTTAAATTATTGGACTCGGCATATATAAACATCACTCTGCTTGAGGCCTTTCTTGGGTTACTACCTCTCTCAGGCTTGGATAAAGTAGACGATTAGGCATGGGATTAGCGACCACATCCTTTAGTGAAACAATTCTCTAAGGGACGCTAACCAGAACAAATAATTCAAACCATTTAAACTCTATCCTGAGAGTTGGAAGGTTTTCATTTCGATGAGTTATGACGCCTCATGATGAAAGCCAAGTTACTTCGGGAGTCACTAGGACAATGCGCCTTCTGGCATCAGAGCAATCATTCATATAGGTATATGGAATGTTCGTACATTGTTGGAGATCGGGGGAGTCATTCAAGTGGCTCAGGAAATCGAAAGATACAATCTGATGGCATCTGTACAGTTAAAGGAAAACAGGGCGACCGTAGAACTCATTACGCCAAGATAAATATGAAGAGAACTGGGAAAGAAGGCCTGGGGGAATCCTGGTCAGCGGTCTATACTCCACGAGGGGTACAAGGCGTCAGCAATTAAACGTATAGTGATAAATTCAAGTGATTAGCTAGTACAATATGCGGTTCCGTTTGATTAGATCTAAAATAGTCAAGTTGTAAACAAACATAGATAATATTAGACAAGTTTACTTGTAACTTTTGAAAAATTAAACTAATCTCTAAATTTTAGTTGATATCAAAACCAAAAAAACACTGTTAGTGTCATGAACACAAGGTCATTTGAATAGCTCGCTGAAATATGAAAGTTACAAAATTAACAGGGACCAATTGTGTTGTTTATGTCTAGAGGATTATAAACTTCCCGTTGTTAAAATTAACGGTTCAGTTTTGATCAGAATGGATTGTCTTCATGAGTTTAACTGACAGAATGCTGCTGTCCAGCTCTGCCAAAAAGCTACTATTTAATAGCGACAGTAATATAATTTTTCCAGGATTTACTAATCTCAAAAATAGACACATCAAAATTCAATGTTTACGATCAACAAAGAGTAAATACAAACTCTAAAATTTATGAATAGTATGATGTATTAGGATTGTTTAGAGTCCATGCTAAACTGAATTCAAAGGGAAGGATATCGTAAATCAGTAAATGCTGGATTGTTGTTTTGATTGTTTTAGTATGTAATGCAAATTTCCTTTTCAACTTCATTTCTTCTTCTCTTGAGTTTTCTTTCTGTTTTATAGTTATGCTACTTATTAATAAATAGTAGTTTATGTTCTTTGTGATCATTTTTCCACTAAGGAAAATGATGTCCTTTTCTTAACTTACCGATTATTCAGTATTTACTATTAGGCATAATTTTATTTTCGTTAACTATCGATGCTATTGCTCTTGACAGTTACTTCTTACTGTGTGCATAAAATGATGAGTGTTTTGTGGAATTTTACTCACTTCCTTGATGTTGAACACAATATACTTGTGTATGCTCACAGTTCTTCTTTACTCCACACTAGCTGATTTGTTACCTAACAACGGAGTAAATATCGGGACACTCTCTGCTTTGTTAATTCCGAGTAATGGAAACAGTTATTTTTTTATCTAAGCTGTGTGCTTAATGGTAATTCCTATTGTAATTTTATTCCCATTTATTTACTTTATTGGTGTGGTTTTATGTCAGCTGACTGGTTTAAAATTACAAATTCTTCATTGACATCATGGACCATGTAATTGGCGCTTACTTCATGTTGAATAAAATGTACCGTACCTTCGCATGGTTCAGTGCAGAATGAGAATGAGAGTGTTGTAATTAAACCAGTCAGCCGGAATTACAAATCTTCTACATAAAAAAATTTCTCGATCCCACCTTCTCATATAGAACTATATTTGAAATGAAGTAAAGGTTACCTAGATATCTCAGGATTCATAGTTTGTACATTTTATAGAGTATATTCTAGCGCGTTAGTTAAAGAAATAAAAAACTTTTTTCAGTTCATCAATTAAAATATAACAAACAAGCATATAATCCTAGTTTCAAATTTGGTTTTGATTTGGTTTAAATGGAGTCAATCGTTGATACACATTGTTTTCGTTGGCTATTTTTTCTTCATAACAACAATCTAGAACCAACAAATATAATAACGGAATAAAATAAAATAAAATACTTCAAAATACACAACTGTTTTATAATTTTCATTTCGTTTAATTTGTTCCTCTGATTGAATTGAATCTTCAGCAACAAATTTTGGCGGTTGATCAAATATCCAAAATGTTTCTGTTTCAGTAATAATCACATCAATTAATTTGTTTAAATCATCTTCAGTTAATATTTCCTGTTCTGTTTGTGCAAGTGTTTTTACTTCTAATGACAAAAAAATGATGATATATTATATATATATATATATATATATATATATATATATATATATATATATTATAGCTTCTCTTCAAAAGTTAACTTGAACATTTAATACTATTTTAATGAAGTAAACAGAATGGCATTATATCTGTGGTGTGTGCTACTTATACGAACGATATAAGTAGTATAAGAAGGGACGTGAAAGAAAAAGTCTCACGATCAGAAGAGGAGAACGGAAAGCAAATGGAGCAAAAGCAAGAAGTAAATAGAGTACCAACAGGAAGTAAAGGAAGCAACAACGGGAATAGAAGAAGGATGGAGCGTTGAAAGTCACGACTCAAAGATGGTGTGCAAATAGAGTGTTCAATGTAGTGTTTTCGTTTTTAATTGACTTAGAGTGTATGTACACTTGCATAATAAAATTTTCCGCGCCTGCTGCCTCAGTCTTCTCATATCCTGTAAACATTTAATAGTTAAGTCAGTAAACTATATCTCAACCATATCTACTAACGAAGAAAAATACACTTTATATTGAAAACTAAAGCTCTAATTTAAAGCGTTGTTTTATTATTTTAAATATTCTGAATCTAAATGTACGAAATTTTGAGACAATTTGTATTGTACTCTCCTAACTTTAAACAATAATATGTGTATCCAATGTACAAGATTTAGTTCAACAGTCAATGAATGATATTGTGAACTGTGATGCCCAATTATTGAAATATCAGCAGGACTAGCAGATAAGGTTATTTTCTTATGTAATTTTTTGGTTTTCTTGATAAAAAGAAGAGGAGGTTTATAAACAGTAGCTAGTAATATATCTATATACAACTAATGTTAGAATGTCTTTCAAAGGTAATAAAAATTCACATTTGATATTTTAATTGATATTCGATTTTGCTCTGCAAATTACACATCAGACAAACTGCAAACTCTGAAAGCAACATTAGTGAGTACATTTTCAATTTTCATATTCAACTCTTGTAAACTTTGCAAACAAAAGGTGAATTATTTGGTTTAGAAATATTTGGTTACATTCTATAAACATATTAACACTAAACAGGGTACATTATTTTCTTAGTATAGAGTTATGGAGATCATTAAGTTTCAATGAAATTATGAATTGACCATTGTTAGACTACTATTAGAAACCTGAAAGCATTCACTGGACGGCTGTTCCTTTTTCTAGTATGAAACTCACTAGTGAATAACTAGCTTTGTGAGAAGATTCTCTTAATTCTTGTGAGAAGCTGTAACCAATGGAGTTAAACCAAGTCGGATGGATGTAGGCAGTTACCTACCGAGGACAATGAGTAGTGGGGTTGTGAAATACCTTCGACTGATTAAAATTCGACATTAACACTTGGATGAGGTCGGCTCAGTGGTCTACTGGTCAAGGTTTCAGTTGGCAAAATTTGTATACTATCATAAATGAAATTATTGATTTAGTGTTAACCGATTAATTAGCCAGTAAAAAATTATTGGTTAAGTTTTATTTGCAACGATGAATTGATCAATGTTAGACCACCATTAGAAACCTGGAAGCACTGGACGGCCGTCAAGTCCTGGTACGGGACTCCTCATCAGTGAGCATCCACGACTCCTGCACCCCGCAGGATTCGAACCCAGGACCTTTGGTATTGTACGCGAACGTCCTAACCGTTAGACATTAACACCATTAAGTACCGGCTCAATGCTCTGACGGCTAGGGCGTTCGCGCCCAATACCGAAGGTCCCTGGTTTGAATCCTGCGGGGCGCGGGAGTCGTGGGCGCGCACTGCTGAGGAGTCCCATACCAGGACTTGACTGCCGTCTTTCAATGCTTCCAGGTTTCTAATGGTGATGGTCTAACATTGATCGATTCATGCTTACAAATAAAACTTAACAATCTTCACAACAACCCTGCAATGTATTTGTTAAATATCAATTATTTACAAAAAGAATTTACATAAGAATTTACCATTAAATATTTGATAACGATCATGTTCATCACTTGTCTCTGAAGGTGATTCACCGAATGGAGTTGATCCACTTATATAAGATCGTGTAAATGTAAAAGGATTTGTAATATGTAAACTACTTCCACCATGATATGACAACTGTGAGAAATCGGTACTCTTCAATTAGAAAAAAAATATATATATATATATATAGAGAGAGAGAGAAAATTAGTTTAGAATAAAAATGCTCGTTTTTATTAACATAAACTAACTGAAATTTCTTTTTCCTCATGAATTCGTTTCTCTTCACTTAATAATGGTAATGGTGTTAAATCGACGCCATTTTCATCAATCAAACGAATTGTTGGCCTTGATAAACGTTTTTCTGAGTCGGATTTTCTAGAAAATGAACTTGAAGCACGTCTTCGCCTTATCATTAAAGCATTTTTACGAACTGATTGACTTTTCTTCTGTCCACCAAACATTTTCAAAACTTTTTATGCTACAAAAAAAAATAATTGATTTTAAAAAAAATTAAAATTGGGGAAACTATAAAGACAAAGTAAAATGTTTGATACATAAATTAAAGTAGTCAGCCAATTAAGAAATTGGTTTAGTTTTTATTGTTGACTTTATGGTGAGATTGCCTTATTGAGATGATTTGCAGTACTTAATACATTGTAAATAATGGTAAAGGTCACATCTCAATCTTTTGTAAATAAATGAAATTAGTTCATTACACCGATTCTTGTACAGTTTTGTTCATAATTGTAAACCTATTTCGTTAAATTATTTGAAACTCTAACTCTGCCTGTAGACCCTTCGGGGCTATTGCCGGTCCCAAGCCCTGAGGAAGGAGGAGGGGTTGGACATGGGGTTGGCGCCCCCATCCCAACTAAAAACTAACTTGCCAAAAAAACGCTAACCAGAAAAAATAATTCAAACCATTTTAACTCTGCCCTGGGAGTTGGAAGAAGAATTATAACGTCTCGTGATGAAAGCCGAGTTCCCTCGGAAGTCACGAGGCTGATGCCCCTTCTGACAACCAGAGCAACCATTCTTTTAGGTACATGGAACGTTCGTACATTGTGGGAGACTGGAAGACTATTTCAAGTTGCGGCAGAAATGAAAAGATACAACCTCGACGTGCTTGGAATCAGTGAAACGCATTGGACACAGGTAGGGCAACTAAGACTAGCTTCAGGGGAACTGCTGTTATACTCTGGTCATGAAGGGGAAAATGCCTCACATACACAAGGAGTTGCACTAATGCTGTCCAAACATGCACAAAAGGCACTAATAGGATGGGAATCTCATGGACCCAGGATCACCAAAACATCCTTCAAAACAAAGAAACAGGACATTACAATGAACGTCATCCAATGTTATGCACCTACCAATGACTACAATGACAACTTAAAGATCAATTCTACGAAAGGCTGCAGTCAATCGTCGAGAAATGTTCACCAAAGGATTTGACGATTCTTATGGGAGACCTGAATGCCAAGGTTGGAATGGACAACAGTGGATATGAAGACATCATGGGACGACATGGACTGGGAGAAAGGAACGAAAGCGGTGAGAGATTTGCAAACCTATGTGCCTTCAACAAACTGGTCATAGGTGGCACAATATTCCCGCACAAACGAATACACGAAGCTACATGGATTTCACCGGACCACACTACTCAGAACCAAATCGACCATATCTGTATCAATAAAAAGTTCAGAAGGACTATGGAGGATGTGAGAACCAAGAGAGGAGCTGATATAGCTTCAGATCACCATTTGCTAGTCGCCAAAATGAAACTGAAACTAAAGAAGCATTGGACAGTGGGGCAGAAAATATCACAGAAGTTTATTGCGGCCTTTCTTCGGGATACTGTAAAGCTCAACGAATTCAGGATAGCCCTCACCAATAGGTTCCAGGCCTTGAAAAGTATCCTCAGTGGAGAGGAAGCAACACTGGAGTACAATTGGAAACTATTGGAACTATTGAATCGACCAGCTCCACTGAACACACCCAACATCGAAGCAGCATCCACAGACCTCCCAATTAATATTGGCGCACCTACGATTGAGGAGATCAGTATGGCCATCAGACAAATCAAGAACGGCAAAGCAGCAGGATCAGACAACATTCCAGCTGAGGCAATGAAAGCAGATGTAGAAGCAACTGCGAAAATATTTCACATCCTCTTCAAGAAGATTTGGGATGAGGAACAAGTACCATCAGATTGGAAAGAAGGATACCTCATCAAAATACCAAAGAAAGGCGACCTGAGCAAGTGTGAGAACTACAGAGGCATCACTCTTCTTTCAATACCAGGCAAAGTCTTTAACAGGGTATTGTTAAACAGAATGAAGGACTTCGTAGACGCCCAACTTCGAGATCAACAGGCCGGATTTCGTAAGGATCGATCGTGTACCAACCAAATCGCTACATTACGGATCATTGTGGAACAATCAATTGAATGGAACTCATCACTTTACATAAACTTCATTGACTACGAGAAAGCATTCGATAGTGTGGATAGGAAAACACTGTGGAGGCTTCATCGACAATACGGGGTGCCTGAGAAAATAGTTAACATCATACGGAACTCTTATGATGGATTCAACTGCAAAATCATACACAATGGACAGCTAACAGGCTCTTTCGAGGTGAAGACCGGTGTGAGGCAAGTTTGCTTACTCTCACCCTTTCTCTTTCTCCTGGTAATCGAATGGATTATGAATACGTCGACATCTGGAGGGAAGCACGGTATACAGTGGATAGCTAGGACGCAGCTGGACGATCTGGACTTCGCAGATGACTTGGCTCTTCTATCGCAACGCAATAACAAATGCAAGAGAAGACGACCAGTGTAGCCGCAGCCTCTGCAGCAGTAGGTCTCAACATACATAAAGGAAAAAGCAAAATTCTCCGATGCAACACAACATGCACCAACCAAATCACTCTTGATGGAGATGCCTTGGAGGACGTTAACACCTTTACATATCTGGGCAGCATCATCGACAACCAAGGTGGATCTGATGCAAATATGAGGGCGCGGATTGGCAAAGCAAGGACTGAATTTCTACAGTTGAAAAATAAGTGGAACTCCAAACAACTTTTAACGAAGAGCAAAATCAGGATTTTGAATACAAATGTCAAGACAGCTCTACTGTATGGAGCTGAAACTTGGAGAACTACCAAAGCCATCATCCAGAAGATACAAGTATTCGTTAACAGTTGTCTATGCGAAATACTTCGGATTCGTTGGCCAGACACTATCAGCAACAACCTACTGTGGGAGAGAACAAAACAGATTCCAGTGGAGGAGGAAATCAGGAAGAAGCGGTGGAAGTAGATAGGACACATACTACAAAAAGCACCTAACTGCGTCACAAGACAAGCCCTCACCTGGAACCCTCAAGGCAAAAGGAAAAGAGGAGGGCCAAACAACACAGTACGCCGAGAAATAGACAAAGATATAAGAAGAATGAACAAAAATTGGACAGAACTGGAAAGAGAGGCGCAGGACAGAGTTGGTTGGAGAAAACTGGTGGGCGGCCAATGCTCCATTGGGGGTAAGTAAGTAAGTAGTTTGAAACACTGTCTAAGTGCTTCACATTTTGGTATAAAACGTGCAAAAATGCAATTACTTATAACCTTGAATTGCACGAACGTCTTATATGCTACGCGTTCAGGAATTTAACATAATAAATCACCACCCAGGAGCGTTTTAAGTCTCTTCAGCATTTAGTGATAGAATTAATTGTTTCTGGTGAACAAATCTGAGGGACTCTCAGTAAATGGGGCAAATTTCATGCCGCTTGTTGCTATTTAGATAGCGAAATAACAGACTGAGACAGTTTCTTACTCGTTCACTCCACTAAGTTTAAGATTGTGAGACTGTTTTCTCCAGTTTGATGCTATAAGTGTAATTTGAAACTGAATAACTACGATTGCCACTGAAAGAAGATTGTAGATAGGAAAAAAACTTGCCATTAAAATGTCTTCACAAAATTTTCATGAACTAACGTCTATTGCATATATTCACTTGAATAACAGAACAGGAGTGTGAACTGTGAAATCTAAGAGGGTTGTACATCTATTTGATTCCATAAAAGTATTCCAGATACGTTAAATTTCTGTCCGCAAGCTATACTAGACATTGTGAGATATATTAAAACCAATTAAATAGCTTATCATCTGATCATCATCCAGACCTTTTGTAATTTTTTAAAATATTAGATGAATTGAGTCCATTATGAACAACAATAAACAAACCATGAAGTATGAATTCCTTGTTCAATTTTACGTACAACAATTGGGATAAACCTACTAAGCAACGTCGTTATTAAAAGTGGAGTACAAATTGAGTCCGAAGGATTTCATTTCACATATCAGTGTGCAGTCGGACAGACGATATACAAGGTCTCATACTATTGCTAGCAAAAGGCAGTTAATCGAGGGTTAGTCTCCTTTTATATTGGATAAAGGGTGTGTCAAATATACATCAAAATATGTACAATTGAACACACTCCAAATGAAGATAGATATATGTAAACATATTGACATAAAAAGTGCCTTACATTAACATGTAAACACTTAAGCAGAATAAATAGAAGTGTACAAAATAAAATCACCTAGGTGTTATAAGGAATTTATACCAGGTACCATCAAGCAACCTGCATTAAATTGTAGAGTTGTGGAAACTATTGAGTTTCAGTAAAATCCTGAGTCAATCGGTGCTAAAGCCGCATTCGAAATTTGGTTTCTGTTGATAGTTCAACAGAAATAGATTGATGATTTTGAGACTAAATTAAATGTTGCATATATATTTCAGGTTTTGTTTCTAGATGTTAAGTCATTCCTCTTTCTGTTGCTAAATTCAGTAAAGAACAGTTACTAAGGAGGCAAAATAAAAAACCAACATTTATTTGCACAAATTGGAAGAGTTATAAACTCCTGAAATAGAGGTTGAATGCACTCCATTTACATTTATTCAGTTTTTCGAGAACAGAGATATCCATGCCATAGCTTCCGCTTACTTCTGGCTAAATTTTTAATGAGCATGTTTTTATTCTATCTTAATTTTACACCTGTAGATCACGCACCTACAATGCCTTTTTTCCGAAAATTCTTAAAGCGATCACTGATCTATATAATCAGAGCAATGGACATATGCGTGTGTTGGAAGCCTTCTCAATACTGTAAAGAACAAAGATACTTTTAGGAAGGTCTCTTTTACCTAGTAACCTTGATAGGAAACACTCAAATAACTTAGCAATTTAGAATTTCCATTGAGAAAAAACATTCCGTGATCATTTCGTATGTCAAAAGTTGTTTGGAAACTTTAGGATGAGAAAATTGTCGGAAATTAAAATAGTTACGTATGTCAGTTCAGAAAAGGTGATTATTAGATCACTTGTTGATGGAATAATTAGGAACTACTTGTGTTTGAGGTGCAAATAAGTAATGAGTCACAAACTACGGTGTCAATATAACAGTAAAC